CCGTACAGTAAGTGCCTGCACTTTTTTTTTTTCTTCTCTCACCATCGAGATTTAAATAAAATAAAATCCATTGTGGAAGGAGATACAACATACAGCCTGGTCCAGGGGATGTCAGACGGTAAGAGAGTGGCGAGAGAAAAAGAGAAGCTTCCGCGGTTTTCGCATGTGAGCCAATGGAGAAGTCTGTGCATTTACCCGATTCGATTATTACCGAGGCAATTCCTTCTAATTCTTCTTCCGGCACGTTTCCCGATGCAGCCTACAAAGTATATCAAGGTTTCTTTCCACGGGAGCCATCCACGGACATGACGTCCTCGTTCCAAGGTTCTAGCCTTAGAAGGTTCGAAGGTTCCAAGGTTGGAAGCTCCAGCCCTGGGCTTTCAACGGTGCCGATCTAACCTTTGGGTTTGGGCCTGAGATCCCGAAAAGCTTCATACAATATGTATCACTGTACTCCGTACCTGAAAGATATCTCTGCAATATTCCGGGGGATCGGAGACCAGAAATGTAGACCTTTACAACATAGCAGACTCCCAGTTCAGTTTCAGCCAAAAAAAAAAAAAAGAGAAGCTCCGCTTGTACAACCGAGGGGTTTTTGACGCAAACAGAAAACTAAATTGGTTCGAAACTCTGAGCCAATGAAACTCATTTGCCCGGGTCAAAGTTTGGACCCAAGGCCTGAGGAACCCGTTTGGGGGTTCGATTGTTGGATTGTATACGGAGTAGGAGTACGGAGTATAGAAAATATAGAAAACACATTGAAGAGAGGAGAAATAGTCTCTTTATATACCCATTCCCTTCTAACGTCACATTGGAAATGACAAAGACCAAGACACAATACTCTCTCACACAGACCCTGTTCTTTTTTTCCTTTTACCTAAAGTGCGCCAAAGCGGAGTTCCGTTCGAAGCCCTAAAACCCAGAAGATGTGCCTGTGCGAAGGACGTCCAACGGAGCTCCGGACCAATCAGAGCTCAAGGTTTAATTGTGATGCCTTGGGAAAGCTAAAGGGAATTAGAATTGATCTCAATTTCCCCACAGGTTGAATGAAGGAACTCATAGCCGAGTAGATATTGTATACAACATACATACATACATACATACATACATACATACATACATATAGAATATCCCAATTGCAGTTCTATCTGTATATGCCTGTGATCATAGATGTATTTGTTTGGACCAAATGACGCCAGGACTGACTTTCTGTCCTACCCCAGACCTAACTGCCCAAGAATCAAAGATGTGTGAAAAGAAACTCCTCGGAAGAAACCGTTACTGGATCGGGTGAAACAAAGATGGAGGAAATGAAGAAGAAAAAGAAAACTGGATAGAATAGATCCCAAACCCAATGCGATATGGATATCATAAACGCGAACAGAAACGAAAAAAGAAAATCAAAGCAGAATCGAATCAAGTTGATCAAGAGTCTTCTACGCGTGCATCATCGTCCACGAAGCGGCGTCACAGTTCACTTCCTCAAAACTATGTAGCATAGTGAAGCCCATCATCGAGAGATTGTCGAAGTTGCCGTCACCATCGACCTATTTCAGTGTTAGAAGATAACCGGGGAAAAGGAACAAGCCAAAAAAAACATACACAGTCCATAACCACGGCATCGGCACTCAGCTTCCGGATCTGCTTGATAGCTAGCAGGACCAGGCCCTGCATTACCGTAGAGTAATGTTCGCCACAAGGAGAAATCACCGGAGACGAAATGCCTCCGACGGAAGCCTGGGTGGCGCGCAACACGGGCATGTGCTCCGCCAAAGCGGATCGCTCATTGTAAATCACGATACTCCCGAGTATAACCCCGTCGGAGGGCCGCTTGGCCCGGATGATCCCGCAATTAGGCGCCCCTCCCAGAGCCATGCGGTAGATGTCGGCCACGCCCTGCCGCGCATACGTTTTGATGTGGTCGAGAATCGCGGGCGCAAAGTCCCAGCCATATACGAGGTCGTATGTGACCTCGGCACTCTGCAGAGTCGCCGTGAGCCCCTCGGGCGGCACCCATGTCGACAGGTTGCGCATGATCACGCTGCACACTGGTCGCGAAAGCGCCGTGTTCCACCCCATGTTCGCGAACCATTGCCGCAGCCGCTTGCGCTCCACCGGGTTGACGGTCGGGATGCCAAGGTAGATCCCTGGTAATCGGGATCCTAGCTGGAAGCGTTTCATCCCGGTCCGCTGGAGCAGAGTCCGAATCGCACGGCTGTGAAGAGAATGTCCGATTGAGAGTTTCCTTCGAGATGGGTCTACGATCAGACATGCAATCACGCCGGTGCCTGTTGATCGAAAGAAGTAGGTCGCGCAGAACCCGTAGAGGGCATGCGTGCTACTGTTCCGGACAACAAAATGGGCTTCGTCAATATCCTCCTTCCGGAGCAAGAAGCTGTTAGCGGTAGCTCCAAGAAGTTCTGACGGCTGGCCTAGTGTACAGTCGGCACGGATAGTGTCGAGCAGGGCATCCAGCGCGAAAAAGTCGCGATCCTCGTTCCAATTCTCGACAAGCCAGTGCTGTCGAGACTGATGAATCTTCTGCGTTCGCCCAATGGAGCCGGGCAAGGCCGCTGAAGGTGTCAAGTCGCCATACAAGACCTTGACCAATGCCTGGAGGGCTGTTTCCGTGAAGTCATACGTGCATATGTAAGTACTAATCGAAGAATCCATGGCAAAATCATATGGCGAGCTAACTGCCACCACAATCAATGGTTTCGCCCGACGTTCGCCAGATGGGGTATACTGCGATTGGCAGATCATGGCGACGTGTTTTGAGAACCCTTGCTGGTAGAGATTGCGATTGGCATCGGCCGTGACAACTACTACAGCACTCGCTCTTTGAATGAGGTCGTCGTGGATGGGACGCACGCCATTGGAAGTATAGGAGGTGTGCAACACGCGCCCGTTCCTCTGCCGCGAGAGTGATCGTCCAAGTTCTTTGAAGACCCCCTCTCCACTCAGAATCGAGGAGGTTCGTTCCGAGCATAATGGATCCAGTGACCCACGCGCAGACTCTGCGACCGAGAGAGAAACCGCTGATGTTGGGAGTGGCTTGACCAGCGGCGTCAGAAGCAAAAGTTCCTCGTCTGGCTCGATGACATTGGACAACGGAAGTAAATTATTCTTATCTCTCATCACTGTGATGGAAGAGTTGTAGGCTCGGGTGGAAAGGTTGGTATGCGAGGGTTGCATCTGTGTAAGTGAAGAAAGCCCCGGAGGGTTCAGTGCCTGTTCCCACGAAGTACACCGCGCCTTCAAATCCAAAACGCGGCGCAACGATTGTTCAATTCGCTGACGGCTGATGATACCGTTCTCCACGCCGAGTTTCAACCCGTTGATGGCTTCCTGCTGGACTGGAAATGACCGACATAAAAGCATGACGTCGCAGCCGGCGTTCTTCGCCATCACTGTGCCACCTCCTACTCCAATGTTATGTGTGAGCGCCTCCATCTCCAAGCATTCGGAAACGACCACCCCTTGAAACTGGAGATCCTTTCTCAATAGCTCGTTGACCACCTGATCACTCAGGCACGCGTGCATCACGTTCATCCCGGCCGATGACAATGAGACACCTCCCACTATCATGGCATCCAGGCCCTGGTTGATAGCGTTGCGAAAGGGCACAAGCGCGTTGAGGCTGAGTTGCTCCAGGGATTCCGTAATAATTGGAATATCCGTCGGGGAGCCGAGAAATTCCAAATTACCATAGGACGGAAAGTGTTTTCCACAAGTCACTAAACCTGCTTCTTGATACCCTTTCATGAACTGGACCCCATATTGAGACGCCTCTTGGGGATCATCGCCAGCGGTACGAACGCCTAGTGGTTGATTTCGCACATTGGTCAAAACATCCAAAACGGGGCCCAAGATCCAATTGACCCCAACGGCCTTGAGCTCCTGTGCTGTCGCGACAGCCACCTCGTGCGCTAATGACTTGGACCCAGTAGCTGCAATGCCCATGGTACTAGGAAATTGGCGGATATATATCTCATCATACAAACTGTTGACGCCACCATTCTCCTGGTCCAAGGCAATTAGTAACGGAACAGGATGGCCTGCATCACGCGCAATGGTCTGTAATTCCAGAACCAATCTGGTTGCATCCTCGGCCGCTGTAAACGTGTCAGTGACTGTCTAAGTAGCTAGTGACAAAGAGCCTTTTTAAAGATACATTTCAGATTTTTAGCAGATAGCATCACGGTACCCAAGTGGTAATTCTCAATGAGTGATCGAATCTGTGGATTGACCGAAGTCCCATCAAAGCCCATCATAAAGAGCTGACCCATCTGTCTGTGCCATGTCAGCGTACTCCGGTATCAAATTTCCTAAAGTGGAAATAGTCTACATGACGCTCCCCAGATTGACAGTTAGGTTCCACATTGAAGGGAGATACCCCAACAGGCAGATTTTAGGGGGGGGAAGGAATGGGGCGAGGGTTAACGCCAATAGGGGACGAGCCAAGCGAAAACAGTAGATCGACACACCTATCTAGGTCCTCCCAGCCCGGGGGCAGCATGCCCTCTTTCCGGGCCATGGCCCGAGGAGGAATGCCTGTAGCGGCCCAGAGAGGTAGGATACAGAGGGTGCAGTGTCGGGGGATCCAAGGTGTGGACACCGTAAACGTCTGACAGGTACGGAATATGAAGCCAGTGCACGCGTAGTCAGGTGACAAGGGAGGGTTAAAGGGTTGCAGGAGTCAAAATTGGACCTCGGGAGCTTTGTCTTTCTCCCCCGGAGCCGCAAATGTTGGGGAAGAGTCGGGACCAGAGAGATAAGGCGAGAGATAAGGAGATAGGAGCTTAGTATTCCCCGCTGAAGGGTCACGGGATCTTGGCATTTCTATTATGTACATAGTTATGTAAGATTTATATTCAGAGCTTGGATATTCAGAGCCTGGGACCTGGGAGGTGTGAATATAAAGAACACGATTTATAGCCATACATCTACATAGTTATATAGCGTAGATGATTGACACATGAGAACATTTCGATCCACTAATGTATACACCCGAAGTACCATCACGTGTTCTGTATGTAACCGTTTTCCGGATCCATTCCCCGTCACGTGCCATACATACCAATACCAATACCAATACCACTGTCATACTTGCAACGGCTACGACGCTACAACGTCCAAGGTTGCACTGGACACGATATTCTCCAGCTTCGTACCGACACCACCGGATGCAACTCCTACACTTCGCAATGGAACCTTCAAACCACCATGTGGGCTATGGAGCTCCATACTCCAATCACAACGCCCACGTCCTTTTTTTCCGGCGTCATGTCACTTTGGGCTTGATTGTTGAGCCACATGGAATACACCCGAGTGGACATTGATAATCAAACCGTGGAATCGGCCGAATGAAGTTAACGGCTATCTGTCCAGGATGCGGTAGCCCGCAGACGTCAACCCTCTAGTTAGATAGGGGCAACCGTCTTGCACGTGGCTTTCTATACGACGTTCTTTGCTGTCACTGTCGTACACTCCACCCAGACTGTAACCCATAGGATTCCTTTAACCTTATCGAATGGTCTCTTTTCTTTCCTCTTGATGCCAACTTTCTCCTCTTCCTTTCTTCTTCTCCCATACTCCTCAGCCCTACTCCAATCCAAAGACCCGTGACGTAATAATGTGTGTGACTTCTTCTATGTGTCGCCTTCTGGTTCTATACTAACCTGCTTCTCGATAGGCGTGTCATTATCAGAGAAGATCCTCGTGATGTGTCTGTATACATTGCAGACTACATTATCAGTAAGCCGCAGCCGAGATCCTCGATGCGCCAATGCTGAGACTAACTCTTCCAAGGCCGCATCAAGCTGTTTAGCCCGACGCCCGAGCAGCCATTCGTGCTTGGTCTGCCTACTGGCAGCAGCCCCGAGCTCATCTACAAGATCCTCGTCCAGCGTCATCGCGCCGGCGAGATCTCCTTCAAGAATGTCGTGACTTTCAACATGGTAGGCGCAAAACCAATCACGGGGGAAAACAGCCCACTAACCTCAAATACAGGATGAATATGTCGGGCTGCCTCGCGATCACCCCGAGTCCTACCATAGCTTCATGTACAAGCACTTCTTTTCCCACGTGGACATCCCACCGCAGAACATTAACATCCTGGACGGCAACGCGACCGATCTTGTAGCTGAGTGTGCATCATTCGAAGCACGGATCGCGCGCTACGGTGGAATCGAGCTCTTCCTGGGCGGAGTCGGACCAGACGGCCACATCGCGTTCAACGAGCCGGGCTCCTCGCTGACCAGTCGGACGCGCGTCAAGACACTGGCCTACGACACCATCCTGGCAAACTCCCGCTTCTTCGGCGGTGACACGGACAAGGTACCCCGCATGGCTATGACTGTCGGTATTCAAACCATCATGGATTCCCGCGAAGTGGTGATTGTAGCCACCGGAGCGCACAAGGCTATTGCCGTGCAGAAGGGCCTCGAGGAAGGCGTGAATCACATGTGGACCCTCTCCGCTCTGCAGCTGCACCAGCACCCGCTCGTCGTCTGCGATCGCGACGCCACTCTCGAACTCAAGGTCAAGACCGTGCGGTACTTCGAATCGATCGAGCAGGCCGGCACCGATGCCCGCACCCAGGGACCCGCTCTCGTTTACCGTCCTCGGACCTACGTCCCGGCCCCAGTACAAGTTAAGACGCCCAAGTCCCAGCAGCCTACTCCCGATGGCACTCCCGAAAAGGTGCCCAAGGACCTCCGCATCAACACTGAGCTGCACCGCCGCGCATTGGAGGATGAGGAGCTCACCCCAGATAGCATGTCCTCGCGCCTGGTCGATTCGGCCATTGGCGGTATCGACGGTGCACTGAAAGGCGACCTTATGTTTGACCGCATGGGCACCAGAGTTACCACACTCTGATGGGGAACACCTCTACACTTTTGGCATTTTAATTCGGGGTTTTTCTTTTTTAAAAATCTTTTTGTGAGAGAACAGAAATATGGGTTCTGTCTCTGCAAATCATATATGCATGGGTCTGTTTTACTGGTTTGGCTTACAGGATCCATGGGTGTTATTTAAGGAGTTTCGCTGGTCATTTCGATTATTCCCGACTTGATAGATGAGATGCAATGCGTTTTCTAGGAGTCAGTGATATCAAACATTTAGCTATGATAATTTAAAGTGTGTACAATTAATTTAAATTTTCATGTTTCTGCGTGTCATTCAGGATATATATACTTTAAAGAGGGCAGTTTGACGGTGTGTAGACTTTCAGCACGGATATATAGTTATAGATGCTCGAGTAATAGATTAAAGATACAGAAAGAACTAGAATATGCTTGTGTGTCGCTCAAATTGTATATTCTGTACATTTTTATTCTCCTTGCTTTTGGGTCGTACTGCATGATATATTAACATTATAGCTTGGCGAAGACACTGACCACAGTACCGCTCATATCAACAAGAGTGCTCTTGTTCTGCAGCCAAGCCTCAATACCGCGGCGACCATTCTCCACGCCCAGACCGCTCTTCTTCCAGCCACCGACGGCCATCTCAGCAGGGCTCTCGCCCCACGTGTTCACCCAGGTAATACCAGCCTGCAGCTGGTCAATGACGCGGTGCGCCTGGTTCAAATCCTTAGTGAAGACACCAGCAGCGAGACCGAGTTCAGTGGTGTTGGCGCGTCGCACGGCCTCCTCGACGGTGTCATAGTACAGGATGGACATAACGGGACCGAAGATCTCCTGTTTAACGATTGTCATGGAGTCAGTGCAATCGGTGAAGATGGTCGGCTGGACCCAGAAACCGGCCTGCAGATCCTTGGGCACCGAGGGCTTCTCGACACCGCCACAGAGCAGGGTGGCGCGGTCAGACTCAATACCGTGGCGAATGTATGCAACGACCTTGTCGTAGTGGGCTTTGGAGCTGAGAGGACCGAAGTTGGTCTGCTCGTCAAAGAGCGGGCCAGCCCGCACATATTGGATCTTCTCGAGCAGGCTCTTCTCGAAAGCAGCCTTCATGGCGCGCGGGACGAAGACCCGGGTGCCGTTGGTGCAGACCTGACCTGTGCTGTAGAAGTTGGCCATCATGGCGCCATTGACGGCGCTTTCCAGCTCAGCGTCTGGGCAGACAATCAAGGGACTCTTGCCGCCCAGCTCCATTGTCACGTATTTCATGTTGCCCGAAGCAGTGCCTGCGACCTTCATACCGGTTGCCACTTGGCCGGTGAAGGAGACCTTGGCGATGAGTGGGTGGCCAGTCAGATAGGCGCCGACATCACCGGCACCGTTGATCACATTGAAGACACCGTCGGGAAGGCCGGCCTCGGTGTAGATTTCTGCAAGGGTCTGACCGTGAAGCGGGGTGTATTCACTGGGTTTATAGATCATTGTGTTACCGGCGGCCAAACAAGCAGCAGATTTCCAGAGGGCACTAAAGATATCTAGTCAGCTTCTTTTTCTCTACTGTCGCAAACGCAGGATCGGAGAAATTACATCTGGATGGGGTAGTTCCAAGCACCAATGCCGGCACACACACCCAGAGGGGACTTTTTGGTGTATACCCAGGCATCCTCGCGGAGTTGAGTAGTTTCGCCGTTGAGGCCACCGCCGCCAATGAAGTTGGCATAGTACTCCAAAACATCGGCGCCAGTCGTGACGTCGACAGTACTAGTCTCAGTATAAGCCTTGCCGGAGTCCAAAGTCTCGATGCGCGCAATTTCATCGTTCCGGTCCCGTAGCAATGCAGCGGCCTTTTGGAGAATTCGGGCGCGACCAATCAGCGGGGTCTGCGCCCACGAGGGGAATGCGCGATGGGCAGCATTAATAGCGGCATCAACGTCCGCGTTGGAGGCAATCTGGATGTCGGCCAACGGAGTTGCCGTGGCGGGATTGATAGTCTGGAATGACTTGCCGGAGGTCGCTGCTTGGACCTTACCGTCATAATAGAGCTGACGAGGAGGGAAAGAGAGCGACATGATTGTGTATATGATTTTCCAGCTATGTAGAAAGCTACAATAGAAGATAAGAGAGGCGGAAATAACACACACCGCCTTATAATTCCACAAAAGGGAAAAAGCGGAGCTATGTAATCCTTTCCGGTTTTATGTACTCGGTACTCGGCCGCATAGCATAACTAGTACGTAACATCCAAGTACCAAGTACGCCATCCCCGTCAGCGGCTGACGGTGGCTGAAACGGCATCGTCCTGGCGCGGGGTTGTTATCTTTTGGCCTTTGAGCTTCTTCTTCTTGCTCTCTCCGGTTAGAAAGTCCCCGGGAAGTTCATACTAAGAAAGGCATTTCTTCGCCAGCGGGAAAGTCGACGCTCTATCTACGGAATCGCACATCGGAAGCGAATTCCTATCATGGACCGGCCTCCTCTTTTCTCCAATCTGCCGAGATTAACTCGAATACAGGAAGTATGCCGATAAAGGGCTGATACTCGGCTGGTAAGAGTCGGTGGACCTCATTATCCGGCTCATCTCGACTTCTCTCCACTTTTAGTGATCGCCACCACTCAGAGACCCCAAGATTCGCTGAGTCTGACGGGAAAGAAAAAGAAAAAAAAAAAAAAAAAAAAAAAAAAAAATCCCGAAAAAAGGTTTGGACGAAGCTGAGCAATCCTTGGAGATTGGATCGAAAGGTTTTATCCGATCAGACCACCCTCCGAACAGTTTGGATATTTCTCTTTTAGAGACCGTCCTTTCTTCTCCAATCTTCTCCAAACATTCTCCTCACTATATCGGTCCTTGCCTACTCCCCCGGTATTCAATATGGCCACCACTAACGAGCTCCTCGCCGCCGATGTTAACAGCTACGACTACATCGTCGTTGGCGGCGGTACCGCCGGCTGTGTGATTGCGGCTCGCCTGGCCGAGTACCTCCCGAACAAGCGCACTCTGGTTATTGAGGGAGGTCCTAGTGATTTCATGGACGATCGCGTTCTGAACTTGAAGGAATGGCTCAGTCTGCTCGGAGGCGAGCTTGACTACGACTACGGTACTACCGAGCAACCAATGGGTAAGACACTTATTTTTCTAAAATTCTAGCAGAGCTTATGCTGACTATCTCCGCAGGTAACAGTAATATCCGTCACTCCCGTGCAAAGGTTCTGGGTGGTTGCTCTAGTCACAACACTCTCATCTCTTTCCGTCCCTTCGAGTATGATTGCCGTCAATGGGTGTCCAAAGGATGCAAGGGCTGGGACTTTGAGACCTTCACCCGCATAATTGATAACCTGCGCAACACCATCCAGCCGGTGCATGCCCGCCACCGTAACCAGCTGTGCAAGGACTGGATTCAGGCCTGCTCTAGCGCCATGAACATCCCCGTCATTGAGAACTTCAACGATGACATCCGCAAGACCGGTGAGCTGACTGAGGGTGTCGGCTTCTTCAACATCTCCTACAACCCCGATGACGGCCGCCGCAGCAGCGCCAGTGTCGCTTATATCCACCCCATTCTCCGTGGGGATGAGAAGCGTCCTAACTTGACCATTCTCACCAACGCTTGGGTTAACAAGATCAACGTTGAGGGTGATACCGTGACCGGTGTTGATGTTACTCTCCAGTCTGGTGTCAAGCACACGCTACGTGCCCAGAAGGAGACCATTCTGTGTGCCGGAGCTGTCGACACCCCTCGTCTGATGCTGCTCTCCGGTCTTGGTCCCCGTGAGCAGCTGTCCGCACTCGGCATTCCCGCCGTGAAGGATATCCCCGGTGTTGGTGAGAACCTGCTGGACCACCCCGAGAGCATCATCATGTGGGAGCTTAACAGCCCCGTGGATCACAACATGACCACCATGGACTCTGATGCCGGTATCTTCTTGCGCCGCGAGCTGCCCGACGCCGCCGGATTCGACGGCAAGATCGCCGACGTGATGATGCACTGCTACCAGATTCCGTTCACCCTGAACACCACTCGCCTCGGCTACGACGAGCCTCTGAACGCCTTCTGCATGACCCCCAACATTCCCCGCCCCCGCTCCCGCGGTCGTATCTTCTTGACCTCTGCCGATCCCTCCGTGAAGCCCTCGTTGGACTTCCGCTACTTCACCGACCCCGAGGGCTACGATGCCGCCACTATCGTGGCAGGCCTCAAGGCCGCTCGTGAGATTGCCAAGCAGTCCCCCTTCAAGGAGTGGATCAAGCGCGAGGTTGCCCCCGGCCCCAAGGTGCAGACTGATGAAGAGCTGTCCGAGTACGGCCGTCGTGTCGCCCACACCGTGTACCATCCCGCTGGTACTACCAAGATGGGTAACGTTCTCACCGACCCCATGGCGGTTGTAGACCCCACACTGAAGGTCCGCGGCCTGAAGGGCATCCGTATCGCCGATGCCGGTGTCTTCCCTGACATGCCTAGCATCAATCCTATGTTGACGGTCCTGGCCATTGGTGAACGTGCCGCCGAGCTAATTGCTGGCGAGGCCGGTTGGTCTCGCAACCAGCCTCGTCTGTAAAGTAGAGCTTATGACGCGTCAAGGACCTGATATGTATGTAAAAGTTGTTTCTTTAGTTTGGTCTTAATTTGGTGTTATTATAGCATGGGAGCGAGCGGCGCAGGGCGCGGAGGATCGCCTTTGAAGGCATCTTTCCGAGTCTTATTCTCCCCAGCGTCTGCGAGACAGACCTGGTATACAATTGGTTACGGATGAACTTGATATCCAAGAATAAATTTCATTTCACAATTTTTGAAATTGAAAATCTAAATATTCGAACTGAAGATGGATTTCATGTTCAATGCAAAACCACCTCAAAAACGCCTATAACCAAGGTGAAAGCTATTTAACATGACAGCAATATAAAAAAACCAAGAAACAGATCGCATCTAAGATCGAACACCTTATACCTTCACAGCGCCCTTATCAGTATCGTGGATCTTAGCACCCAGCTTCCATACCTGATCGACTGTCAAGGTCGGCCCAGTGAAGGCATCCTCACTCTCACCCAATATGATGAGATCGGCATCAGCACCGCTTTCTAACGTCCCCTTAACACCCTCCAAGCCAAGCAGACGTGCCGGCGCAGCAGTGACAGCATTGATCGCCGCAGCCGTCGATGCACCCGACCAACGACGGAAGTTGTTAACACACTCGATAAGCGTCGCTGAAGATCCAGCAATCTTATCCGAGCCCTCCAGCGTCAACCGCGCACCGCTTTTAACAATCCGTTCCCCATTGGTCCACTCATAGACACCGTCAGGCAGACCACACAGACGCATAGCATCGGTGACCAAGATCAACCCATCCGGGTGCGCATTGTACGCGATCTTGATGGAAGTGGGATGCAAATGGATGCCGTCCGCGATCACACCGTAAAACGGCCTGCGGCGCTCACTTTGTCCCAGCAGACCGAAGATACCTGGGTTGCGGTGGTAGAAGGGCCGCATGGCATTGAACAGGTGGGTGACCATGCGGGCGCCCTTGTGCGTGGCTGCGACAGCCTGTTCATAGGTTGCGTCGGAGTGGCCGGTGGAGTAGATGATGTTGCGCTTGGTGATTTCGGGAATGTGGGCCATCATGTTGCCGACTTCGGGGGCGGCTGTGATCATCTTGATTGGGCTGGCGCTGCCCATGTTCTCTTCGCCATAGCAGTAGATGAGGTCGTCGAAGGTTTCCGCGGCGCGCAGCACTTCGGGCTTGTGGATGCCGTTGCGGTTAGGGCTGATGAAGGGGCCTTCAGCGTGTGCGCCTAGTGACTCGGCGCCGTCTTGGGGCTTATGAGTTCCTGCTGTGGGGCCGAGGGAGGGGAGGACCTGAAATATGGATTAATATTTCTTATTCTCTTCCCTGCATACTTTGCGCTTTTCTTACCTTCCAGTACACCTCGGGGGTGGAGCTCACGAGCGTCGGCAGGTAAGAAGTGACACCAGTTCGGGCCAATCCTCGGTTTACCATGCGCAAACCCTCATCGTATTCCTCCTTCGTTTCACAGGGTACGGAGAAATCAAAGCCATGAGCACCGTTCAACTGGACATCGATCATGCCCGGGGCAATGATACGGCCACCGAGATCAATGATCTCATCGGGGGACAGGTGCAATCCATAGAAAGCCTCTTGATCCTTGAGGATCTTTCCGGTCAGAGAGTCAATCCATAGATCTCGCTCGACCAAGTTCGAGCCGCACACCAGGCGACAATTGGTGAACTTGGTAATGCGCGGGGTAGAAGTCTTGCCCGGCATTATGAATGTTCTTATCAGATCAGATTAAGGTGGGTAGTTCGAACTCGAGGGAAAGAAAACACAAGAAGAGGGGGGAAACTCAAGTACATAAAGATCTAGACACAATGATGTAACAGTAGACTGCGTGACATTCGGCATGCCGATGTGGTATACAACATAGCCCATAGTAACTGTTATCGTTGCTTATCGGCCTTATCGTTACGTGTAATCTCCCGTACGTATCAATACTCGGCCCGTAAATTACCAAAACCGGCCTTGACAATACCGTCACGGCCCAACTGCTACACTCCGCATGCGGGTCGTTTCCCTTCGCTTCTCTTTCTCAATGCAACATCTCTCGTCGTCGCATTGCAAAGTGGATGAACATGACATCTCCTATTATATTATGACAATTTTCTAATTTCCCTGGTTTGCACTTCTCCAGATGACTCCATATTTCCATGTTTCCTTATCTCCCTTGACATTGACATCGAGTTATATGTCGCATTGAAAATGGTTACTAAGATGAGGCAAACCGGGAGACTCGGTTAAGTTGCATGTTAATTTATCTAAAAGTCCTTAGCTTCGTCCTAGTCCTCTTCTTATTTAGACTTTCCCTTGGCAAGGGGATTAGCTATCTACATTCTTCACCATTCTTCAGGCTGTTTCTCACGTGGCGAACATTCTTTCGGCCCCTTGGCTCGCTTGTTGATCGCTACAGCTTTTTTACCCCTGTAGATCTTTGTTCTCTACAACCATGACTGAGCCGGGGAAGCAAAAAGCTGAGAAGCACACGGACTTGCCGACACATGCAATGTCTGCGTCCGTATCTACTCCGCAGGACCCGGAGTCAGGTGTGGACCAGGCAGTGATAGGCCCCGCTTGGATGTACAAGCCACTATTCAAGATTGGCAAATGGGAGGCTCCTTACTTTGCCTCACCCGAAATGCAACTATATTTGGTGTCATTTGTCTGCTTCTTATGTCCCGGCATGTTCAATGCCGTTAGCGGTCTCGGTGGCGGCGGTCAAGTGAACACCCACGATGTGAACAACGCCAACACTGCACTATACAGTACTTTCGCAGTCGTCGGCTTCTTCGCCGGCTCCATTGCCAATCGCATTGGTCTAAGGCTCACCCTCTCCGTGGGCGGGTTCGGGTACTTCCTTTATGTTGCCTCGCTCCTCTCGTACAATATCAACCAAAATGCAGGCTTCCTCATTTTCGCCGGAGCCCTGCTCGGTGTATGTGCTGGTCTGCTGTGGTGTGCTCAGGGCGCGGTCATGTTGAGTTATCCACACGAGCATGAGAAGGGAAAGTACATTGCTATCTTCTGGGTGATTTTCAATTTGGGTGGTGTCATCGGTAGCTTGGTACGTTCACTTGCACATCTCGAATCCCCAGAAACAATATATTGATATCCACAGATCCCTCTCGGCCAAAATATGCACTCGACCGCCGGCAACGTCAACAATGGTACCTACATTGCCTTCCTTGTTCTAATGGCCATTGGCTTCGTTCTCTGCTGGTGTCTCGTCGATTGCAAGTACGTTAAACGCAAGGACGGCTCGCGTGTTATCGTGATCAAAAACCCAACCTGGAAGTCCGAGTTTTTGGGTCTTTGGGAGACACTGATCCACGATTCGTACATCGTCCTGATGTTCCCCATGTTTCTAGCCAGCAACTGGTTCTACGCATACCATTTCAACGCAGTCAATCTCGCCTATTTCAATGTTCGCACTCGAGCCCTAAACAGTCTTCTGTACTGGCTGATGCAGATGGTGGGTGCGTTCATCTTCGGCAAGTTGTTGGATTTGAAGGGTCTCTCGCGTCCGTGGCGCGCCAAGATCAACTTTGGTATTCTACTCGCTGTTACCATGGGCATTTGGGGTGGAGGATATGCATTCCAGAAGCGCTATACCCGCGAAACCAAGGGTCTTGGCACGGATTTCACCGATCGCGGCTACATTGGACCCATGTTCCTGTACATGTTCTACGGATTCTACGACGCCGCTTTCCAGACCTGCACTTATTGGTACATGGGTTCTCTCTCCAACAACAGCCGTAAGTTGGCCAATTTTGCTGGTTTCTACAAGGGAATCCAATCTGCTGGCGCTGCCGGAATGTGGAGGTAAGCGACCATTGCTCTTTTTGCTCTACTCTTCAATAACTAACATACTTTCAGCTTGGATGCAAATGAGACCGCGTACATGACCGAATTTGCCTCTTGCTGGGGTATGCTGGTCGGTAGTATGCTTATTGCCTCACCTGTGATTTTCCTCAAGGTCAAGGACAGCACTGCCGTCGAGGACGATCTGCGATTCTCCGACGAAACCGCCGCCGACGTGCGGGGCCATACCAACGAAATGTCTCCGATAGATAAGCCTCACACCGAAACCCATACTCCTACTGGGACTCTCCCCGACTCTCACGAGGAGACTACCAAATAATGAATTGTCGGTGAAGGAAAAAATCCTACCGGTCATGTAGCACCACGCGGTCAATGTTCGATTTGATCACCTTTATCACTCACTACAGTGTGACGAAATACCTGCATTTACGAGGCGTGTGATTTTTTTTATGCTCGCGAAAAATCCTGGCCACAACTGCGCCAAGGGCCGTGAGCATCATATTCAAATACTCAATCTCCGTCAACTCCGTTTTGTTTAATAATCTTGTACACTATCTGCGTTGGATGTGTTCTCTGGGTGCATTGGCTCTCATTCGGGTTGTACTTTAAGTCTGCTATGATCATGGGGAGTAGTCTATCTAAATGCGTACATAATGTCATATTTGCAAACCAAATGCTATTGAATATATTATCAATATCTAATCAGGTCTGCTCACGACAACTCACCAAACCCAGAAGCCTTTGTGGCCGTAGGCAACGGCACCGAAGCCTGGGTATGAGTCGCCGTCTTAGGGCCAGTCGAGCCAGAATTCTGCTTCACCTTCTCTTCTCCCTTGGTCAATTCCCACCCATTCAGCGTACGATTAAACAGCTGCAACGCAGCCACCGGCTGATAGTACGGCACCTCATGACCAGACTCATAAACACGGGTGAAAGAGAAGTTACCATACTCCCTCGTCTCGCCATACTCGACACCACCGACGAGGAAGGGCGCATAGCCGGCCTTCTGGAACTGCTTGCTGTGCTTGTACTTCGCCGCGAGGGAGATGGCCTCGCCGCCGAACCAGTTGCAGATGTAGTCTGCGTCGCCGTAGATGAGGGCGACGCGGACGGGGCGGGAGAGGATATCCTCTAGGTCTTCGAGGAAGTTGGGCCAGACGAAGTCGCCGGTTTGCTGGAAGGCGAAGTAGACTTCGTTGTTGGATTGCGTGTAGTTTATGTCGACGCCTAGGGCGTTCAGGACCGAGTCTTTGGCGAGGTAGTTTATGTAGTAGCCTTCTGGGGTTGGGTCGTCGCTCGGGTGGCGGATGTCATAGGCGCCTCGCTCGCCGAAGACGTAGTAGGGGCTTTCTGGAGTTAGGGGTTGTGTCAGTTCTGGGTAGATGTTATATGTAGTCGGGGTATATCATACCGACGTTATCCCGGCACATGTTGGTTGCCTCCGTGCAGAGTGCGAGGTCGGATAGCGAGGTGCGGTTTGTAAGCTTGCAGGTTGCGATTTGGTCCTGGCAGCCGTTTGGCATTTCGTTGGCGAATCTCATGTAGTTGTAAACTGTCTCGTTGACCTATATTCTTTGTTAGTGTGAAATTAGTATCATGGTAACTTTGAAGACTTACAGCCTTGATGCCATAGGTGTTGTTCACGGCAAATTCAGGGTAGTGCCTGGCTTGAATTCCTTCATCGATGATACCATTGATGATACCCAAGGTGTTGAAGTCGAGTTGAATGCCGTGCTGGGTGCCGTTGGCAATCTTAAGGTTCTCTTCATAGAAGTGATCGAAGAACTGCCAGTGTTAGAACTTCAACAAAATAGAAGTCACAGGTTGACCTACGGCAGGGCCATAATGTCTGGAAGGAGTCAGTAACGATATCTCAATATCTCGAAAGGACTCACCCTCCATAGCTTTCGGTCCACAAATTGAAACTCTTCGACTTGATCTTCGAATCTAGCTTGGGCAGACCACCCAGGAACCCCTGCAGGACTTCCCAGGTAGCTTTGGCAGCGAGTACAGTTGTATCAATTGCGGTAGCGTTGATGACTGGATAGCGACCATCAATGCCTGCAAAGGACGGGTCTTCATATGAACCTGTGATAGGGTTAAGAGTGCCGGCCGCTTTCTCAGCGTAGGAGAAACCTGTGATTATATTAGCCAGATGACCTAGAAAGAGAATAGAATAGAAAGATATTCATACCAACACCCAATGGCTGAGAGATGAATAGCAAATTCGAGACCTCATTCCACGAATTCTTGTTGATATAAGATTCATTATTCTTGTTGACACCACACGGACCCAATTCCTCGAACAATCCAATCAAAGAGTCACTGCCCGGTCCACCATTCAACCACAAGGTGATTGGCGCATTTTCAGGGTCATGGCGAGCCTCGAAAAACCAGAAGAAAGTGTGCTCTGTGGGTGAGAGGTCCACATAACCCGCATAGGAATTGACATCGGGGGTAGTTTCACAAACACCCTCTTTGCCAGGCTCTTTATAGCGAATGGTGACATTATTAGCCGTCTTGATAGTCTTGACGTGTGTTGGGTGCTTGGGCAGCTGGCGGCGGATGAGGGCCTCCAAGCCCTCCAAGCTATCCGAGGGCACGGCAAGCGCCGCCACAGCCGGTAATAATGGAATCCAGTGGAAGACACGCATAATGGGCTATTTGTTTACCGTTACGAGTGAGGATTACCGGGACGTGCTCGGGATACTTATAGTCCCAGAAGAGGGGAAGTAAACAAGAATCGTGCATGATAAGCAGCTCACGCAATCGACGATTGGCAGGGAAAGCTGAATGCTAAGCCGGGTATTTACTTGATCTCCGTGGGAGCTCCGGAGAAGGTAGCATCCCCGTTAAGAGGGGGAAAGAGTCAAAGCTCCACCAACTCAGGGTGAGAGGTTCAGTTATTCGACTAGGTTAGGCGGGGAGGGGAAAGATCGACGGCGCTAGATTATACCCTGTAGGCTGTGATCGAATAGCAAAAGACCAGGCATCTCCATTGGCTGATGCCAAGAGCTGTTGGGCTCCGAGACAAGGATGTCGTCTTCCGTAAAGCAAACTATTATGACGTGCTATGCCTGGAGTTTTTGATAGTGTATTAATGTATTTAGAAAGTAGATTGAGTCATATAAAGGTGATATTGTCTGCACTGCAGGTGGTAGGAATAGGGAGCCTCGAGGAACGGGTTACTAGGGTTAGTAGAATCCACCTGGCTGAAGTAGCTATGAACGTATTGCGGAGAGTGAAAGAGCCAATTTACCTGGCTTGAGTAGAGTGTCACAGTAGGCTGTGTTCACAATAAGCAATCTATATAGCTTGGCCCCATCACTAGCGAACTCACATCTACCAGATGCTAAGGCGTGTTACTCCAGAGCCAGTCGTTCTTGGATAAGTCCGAAACAGGCTAATCGATAGCCTTGGGGTTTTAAATTTGACGAAGCAGAAGCTTATCTGACGTTTTATATGCCAGATGGTATAGTTTAAATAAAAGAGTGCAATCAATTCAAGATGCAGAAGATGAGGAGAGAGGAGAAGTGGGGGAATAACCGGAGTCGAATGCAAACCAATCAAACAAGCAAATGAAACAAATGAAGCAAATGAAGCAAACAAGGCAAACAAGGCAAATTAAGCACCTATTGATGATGACAGTAAATGTAACTACTCCGTATAACTATAGTTGTGGTTATGCATACTAATATGATGATATATGGTTATGTATATGTACTCCGTCAAAGGCTATAAATACAAAGAACTGTTGGAAGCCTGCATCAGACAATCATATTATACTTTAACTAGCCACCGGTTTCAAAATGGACTGCTTCTAGAGTTGCCGATCTCACTCGAGCTAGAATTGCCGATAATTTCCTATTATTCTCTTTCTCTAGGACTAAACACGAACTGCCCTAATACCCACATCCTGCCGAGTCTCGTATTTGTCTATTTGCCACGTTTCACACTCCTAACAATCTGGATGTCTACTCCGTACTCCGTACCTAGATAGATGCCTCACTTGGTAAATAACTAGAACCGGAAGAACCATTGATGCGAAATTAATTAGTCTCAGAGTTCTAAAGTTTGGTGGTTTGATTTGATTCATTTCCCGATGCATTGGTGGATGATAATTGGCTGGTTTCATGTATCAAGTGGGAATGAGTGGGAATATGCCGAACAAAGACCCCCTGGCTACCGCGTACTAATACTAACAAGCCCCATAATGAGGACAAATAGAATTACGCAGCAATTTTCTCTCTTCTCCGATACATCTTTGTCGAAAGGGGCCATCAGATCGTTTATTTCGCTCCTGGGTTACAGTGTTTCACTGGTGAAACATCTCCAGACTCCAGTGTTCCCAGAGTAAGTCAGATCCACTTCTATTGATTCTCTTTCTGATCCGATATAAAGTAGTACCTTGCATAATTACACCAGCCATCTTCACCATGACTAAACCCGGGCTGGTTGCGATTGTGATTTTATAAATGGATAGGGGCATTGCACTATATCAAGCTCGAAAATTTTTCTAAAGTGTGCATCCTCGATTGTACTTGGGACGAGTGTGATAGATCACAATGGACTCTATGGAGACTCATGCGACGCCCAAGGATGCTGAGAATGAGCAATCAATCACTCAGAGAACATCCAGTCCTTACCCATCCCATCCCATTGCCCAGCTCCAGGGCCCGTTTGAGGAATCAATTGTGGAAACCACTGATGGCTCTGTAAATAAATGGGTTGTGGACATCGACGCGCAAACACGGCGGCGCGATCTACTAGAGAATGACGAATACGAGCGGCTTTGTGGGCGAAAATGGCGCCAGAGGGCATCTGAAAAGTGAAAACTCGTCCTCCTGTCAAGCATGATCAAACCGAACTAATCCAATCATACAGATACCATCCATTCTGGAAATTAATTTCCCAAATGGTCTTCGGAGTTCATCTCCTAGCCAAGAGTCTAGCGAAATCCGAAGACTCAGTCATGAGAATTCTACAGAAACATGTGGATGAGTTAGATGGCTTTCTGGAAAGGACCACCGAAGACTTTATGATCGTCCGACTAGACGTTCGCACTCGAATTCAGTATCTCAGAGTACCGCTAGGAAATCTCGATGTCTTCGATGAGATGCTGGAAGACCGGAATTTCCGGCTATCGATTGTCGCCTATAATGATCAGATCGAACATTCTATTGAGAGATTCACCCTTTCCATCACGGACTCGCTCAAAGACCTACAAAAGGCAAAGGAGGCTATGGGTGCACTATGGTTCTACTTCCGGAAACTTACAGACGAGGATTGCTTCAAGTCCGAGAGCCTCAAGCTTTTTCATCAGGCCATGATGGACAACATGGAGGGCTGGATTGTCGCTATCTCAAAACTTCGTCGACGGGGCACTGCTCTCCAAAAGGCCCTGACCCAACTTGGCTTGGCGACTACAGAAATGCAACGACGGGTCGGAGTAGCAAGTAGAAAGGATGTGGTGAGTTGGGCTTGATTGGGCCTTAAGATTCCAGCGCTAACTATCACAGCGATCGTTTATTAAACAGACCTGCAAGACTGCAAATCGAAATAAGTCAATCAAACAAAGACTCTTCGATAAAGGACGGCCCAAATCAGAAAAACCACTTCCTCGCGATCCATTATCGAAGCCAAAGAGGACATCAATGGCTTCTAAACAGGTTCAGAATCCTCCTGCCCCAGCTAGAGCCCAAACCGACACTCATACGGATCGACCCATCCCGAGCGATGGCATTCGGCGCAGGATCATGAGTCGGGCTAGATCATGCAGTGCCCTTATAGCAGAAGCCAGCGCAGGCGCAGGCACCGAATCACCACCTCCCCTCCCATCAACATCCGGAAAGCTCAAACGCAAGCTCTCCAAGCCCTTCCTACTCAAACGATCCGCCAGCGTGAAAATTGACTTGACCCAAAGTCGACCGAAAACAGCACCATCACAACCCTCACGACTTTCACGCAATATCTCCATAGAGCAGCTCCGAGCATTCTGCTCCACACCACGCCCTCAAACCGGACAATCTAGAGTCAAATCACCCACACAAGCGCGACAGGAGGCCCACAACCAACTCACGAATGGCCGAGAGAACATGAAGGAACAGATATCCCAGTTTCTCAAGACGGACCGCGTGGTCGAAGCATGGGATAACGTATCCAAGAATGCATGCTGTACACTCCCGATTGCCAAGACAAAAGACTGGCCTAGCAGCGTCTTCCAAGCCAAGTCTTCTACCCTAGAAAATAAGGGCAACGACACAAACCCGGACCTGGACAGACAGATGTCTTGGATACAGGGGAAATTCGACGTATTACCTACATACTCATTCAAAACAAAACCTGACATGTCCCCCCGGTTCCATGTTCTATCGGTGCAGATGACCCATGACAACGCTAATGGGGTGACTGAGCGAGAGGCGAGTTTGGATTTGAAAAGTGAATTTGGGTCGAGTATTACTGCGTTGCCGGTTGTACCGTCATCCATTCCACCGGTTAGTTGATAAGAGGGTTTTCGATATTCATGGTTGTTGACATTAGTATATAGATTGCACTGGAGCATCGATCTAGATTGATTGACTGTGCTCAAGGTTGAATATATGGAAGTGTGGTACATTGGACTTATAGAGATATATAATTATAGAGAATTAAAGTGAATATACATAGCCATGTGTATTAATAATATAATATGTAACTAACTATTCGTACTTCGTCTATATACTACGTACTCCGGATTCGTATAGTCTCAGCCCTGCCCGACTGCGCCACAATGGAGATTCTTTCACTTTTCTTTCTCTTTCTCTTCCTTTTTTCTTTATAAAACTTCGAATACATTCCTCTCCCTCTTTCTAGTGATTTCCTTTCTTTTACAAATATCAAAAAGTATCAAGTACCGGTACCAATCTGCCCCATACACAATAGGGCGGCCAGCCAAGTCACTGTACCTTCCCCAACCCCCCAGACTGCAGCCTAAACTGCCAAGGACCCACCGCTCTCACCAGCCCCCGTTGACGTCGAACATCTCACATCCTTGGGGATTCTTACATTCTTCTCTTTCGGCTTCGGATTCTTCACTTTATCTCTTCTGTGGTCGCAAATAATTAGCCCGTCATGCCAGCCCTATATCCTCGATACTGGTAGGTACTATGATGACTCCCGTCAAGAGACATATCACTGATCCGTTACAGCTCTGGTTACTTCGGGGATAATGACTGCTATTCCACCTGGGACTCTTGGGGTCGCTGGGTAGCGTTCGCCGTGATCGTCGGTGTAGCCTTCCTAATCTTCTTCGGTTTCGCGTGAGTCCTACCTACTTCTCTTCTATGCGATGTCTCTCGATTCTAACAAGCTTGTCACAGATGCTTCAACGCACGCCGTCGCCGAACTCATGGCCAACGCCCTCTCACAGGAACGGGATGGATGGCTCCTCCTCCGGGCCCTCCTCCGCCAAATCAACCCATCTACCAGCAACCCCCATACGGCGACCCTTACTACCAGCAAAATGCGCCCCCTCAATACACCCCGAACCCTCAGAACTACGGCTACTTTGGTGCGCAAAATGCACCACCACAGCAGCAAGGCATCGAGTTGCAGCAGCCTCCGAATGCGTACACTGCCAACAGTCCCCACGGATATGCGCCGCCTCCTGGTCCTCCGCCCAACGGCAACAAGGACTAAACTCTACATCTTTCTAAAGCTTAATGAGCATGGCTTTGAAGGTCTTCCGATATTGCATGCCTCTTGATGAATTTGCCGGAAGTTAATGGTTTACGGCGTTTTTAACTGCGAAATGTGGTCTTTTTTTGGATTTGGTCGCATAGCCACATGGGTGGATGTTTTTTCTTTTACTACTTAATGCTTCATGTCTTCCATGTCAAATTTAACCCGAGTTCAGCTGAATTTAAGTATTTGGTTTGCAGCCTGAGATCCCTGAAAGAGCGGGACTTGAGGGTTATAGTTCTATGTTCTCTCGTACATCGTTTCTCTTTAATATATCTTGGACGGTCAAACTTGAAATGAACTGAATTAGAATTGCTCTTTCAAAGTTACTGGCTCTTCTTATTGATTCACTGAGACATCGTGTCATTCGATCACGCGGTTTCAGAGCAGAAGGACAGAAGGTCCAATGATACATGGTTTGAGATTGGACCAGTTGGACTCGCCAATTTAACAACTCAATTCTCAATTGTAAACCAGCCTCGCAATATATTCAGATTGATATATTTGATATAGCGGGCTGATTAGTGCCCCAGGCACCCCATCTCCGCCCTCGCCCTATATCGGGCTCCGCTCTGCGTTTTCTCAATGCGACAACCTCTGAGCCATGGATATCGACGATATTCTCGCGTCAGTGGATCGCGGTCCAGGCGCCAGCCTGGAATCCGCAGCGCTAGATCACCAGCTCCTCACGCGCTTCTGGGTAGCTGAACGCGCTGTGTCGGAGGTACTACCGTGGCCGGCGCCACTGATGGAGCGCATAATGGATCGCGTGCGGATACAGGTACACAGCACCTTCACAGCACTCCCTAAATCCAAATCACTAATGAAACCAAACACCTACAGATCGAAACAATCGAAGACCTAGCCGCATCCTCAGAAACAACCCCAACAACCGGAAACACGCACAACCCCAATCTCAACCTCCGCCTCTCAATCCTCCAAACCGACCTCGCCCGCAGCCAATACATAGTACGCAGTCTTCTGAGAGCCCGACTGGCCAAAATAACAAAATACAGCATGCACTATCTAGTCCTGCTCGCCTCGCGCAACAAAAACCCCCTCGCATCGCAAACACAATCAACCGCCTCCTCACAGAACCCGAACCAGCAGCCCGAGGACTCCGTGCCGGACATATCAGAGCTGACGGATCTTGCGCCGCTGTCGGAGCCGGAATCGTCGTTCCTGCATGCGCACCAGACGCTCCTGGCGGGCCACTATGCGGGGTCGTTTATGGGGGCGTTCCCGCGGCAGCTGAGGCGGTTGGATGATAATGCCGGTGGGACGAGTATGATCCAGGGGCCGGAGTTGAGGGAGGTTGTTTTTGTTCGGTGTCTTGGGGCGGAAGTTCCTGTTGTCGTTGGTGGGGAGGACGAGGAATATGACACGGGGGTTACCATGCGAATGGGCGATGTCTGGGTTGTGAGATGGGAAGGAGTTAAGGCGGCTTGGGGGAGAGGGGAGGTGGAATTATTGTGAGTCCTGGAGTCTTTTAGACTGGTTTGATATTCGACTTCATCATAGCGGAGTGGCGTTCTTTGGGTTATTTTATGAGATATTTTTCCTACTTCTATGGGACTTGCTTCAACGATGTATGTATGTCCTGTCAAGGCGGTTTCCATTGGCCGTGCCAGTAAATATCAAATACCAAATCGGATGGTTTTCTATAGCTATTTCATTTCTTTCAATCCCCTAAAAGACGCCAATCGCTAAGCTCAGAGAAACGCAAGTACTCCGAAAGCAGACACATATACCGAGATGCGAGGACACACCAGATCATAAAATCATAACAAACCAGAGCAAAGAAGTAGACCAGATAGAAGGCAGATGCCATCACCGAGATCGTATGACATTATGCGACATACCCGTAGGTGGGCGGATCTTCAGAGATTCGCTCCAGGTATTCGCGGTCAATCAGACTCTCAATGCGACGCTTGATCATGTTCACGTCTGGGACAAAGCGGGCGGAAAGTTGCGAAAGAGTCTCATTCATTAGTTGAGCATGAGTAAGCGTTTTGCGTTGTCTGCCAGAGATTAGTTCGTCAGATCACATACGAGGATTATATGGGAGAGTCATACTTCATAATGCGGACGATAGCAGCTTCGATGGTACCGTTGCGCTCGTCATTCATCTTCTTTTCAGTGATCTTGCGCTGATCTTGGTTCTCGACTTTGTTGGCACCGCCGCTGACAACTCCGATACGCACTTTCACAAAGGGGCTGTGGAAATCATTGTTGAAAAAGAAGCGGTCAGTGGGCCTCACATCCTTGCTCATAGGCTCCTTCTTCAACACTCGAGTCTTTGGGGCAACCGCAAGCGATTGCAAGTTGCGGATCAAGTCGTGGTCTTGTATCAGCGTGCGAGTTTTGATCTCGTCATAGGTGAGGCCTTCGCCGTCGGGGATGTCGTTGAATAATAACAAGATGATCATGGCGTATGTTGACACGTTGAGTTCATAGCGCTGGACCTTTCCATTGGTGCGTACAAAAGTGGTTCGAAGATCGCTAGTGCCCATGCTAGCCTGCCACGACAGTTTGCGGCCACTGTGCTTGTCGAGATAAAACCTCTCAAAGCTTTGCTTCAGTGTATCAATCTCCCGTGGGAAAATGCAAGGCAATTGGACCGTTCCCTCTTTGGCTCCCATGATTTCCATTGGCCACATGGTACTGGTGAGGACGTTGATCTCCAGGTCCACGGGTTTCTGGTCAGGATCACCACTGCGCGCAATGTGCTCCTTGTAATTGGTGGTAAGGTCTTCCGAGATGGTCATATCCTTGAACATGGACTCAATGCGTTGAGTAAACTGGTTACCGACCTCTAACTTCATCTTCGAAATCATCTGTCTCTCTGCATCCATGCTGACAGAGCGTTTCATCAGAAGACGGCGTGATAGATGTTTCTTATAATAAGTTTCAAATAGATCCTTGTCCTTGATGTACCGCAACAGTGTAATTCCGCTGTCTAGGAGAACGTCTACCTCGCTTTCTGTCTTCCCCTTAATGCCCTTCTTCAAGTTTTCATCGAAGAAGAGAGACAGGTACTCGGAATTTCGCGAGTTCTGGTTGATGAAGTTGGCGAAGCTCGCCCCAATTGAGCCTTGCATGCCCTGGTCCGAGGCGAAGGCATTCTCCCAAATGTTATCGAATTTCCGCTTGAGGATGAGAATGTCATCGACCCAGCGGATTGCTGACACTGTTTGCTGACTCTGAGGCTTTTCTTTGTCTTTTCCCTTCGCCGGCTTTTTCTCTTTTTCACCATCCTTCTCTGCTGATGGGGCTGGGGCTTGTGGTAAGAGTATAGACGAAGCATTGATTTCTTTGCCCATTTCCACAATTCGCTTGCTGGCCATGTTTGTCAAAGCTTGCTTCTTCTTGTCGACTCTTTTATTAAGCGTGTAAATATTCCGTAACCCCTCCAAGTGATCGTGATCCAGCATTTGCCGGACGCCGGTCCCCTCGAAATTGACGACCTCGTCAATATTGTTCCGGATGAGCTCCTCGTCAAGCAACTCAAGGACCTTCGGCTCTGTCGTGACCGCCAACATATAACGGCATCGCTCCTCCTCTTCAGTGATTCGCTGGGTTGCGAATCGGCAAAACGTGGTAGCATCTCCCATTTCCAAGAGCCGTTGCCCTTCTGCCCGGTAGAACTCCTTACTTGTTTCGAGAAAGGCTGGTTCAAACTCAGTCAGATAAAGTTTTGAGCTCTCCTCCTCTGTAGTAGTTTCGTAGAGGCCCTCCAACATTTGGATGCAATGCCGAATGAGCGGCCGTTCAATAATGTGCC